GTGGGGGGTTTGGGGGTCCGCAATGACTGAAAACAACATCCTATAAAATATGGCTCTGAGTACTTAGAAAAAGCTCGAGGGGGAAGATTAAACCGAGTCATGGAAAATATGGCAGTAGTAGCGAACCGCTTCAGTCAGGAGAGGCTGATGGCCGCCGGGGGGAGGGGGGGGGGACACAGTGGATTCAACTCTACAGGCCGACTGGTGACATCATCAGTCTCCTATAAACCGCAGCGTGACCTCCACACTGACGCCTGCCCGACACAGTGGGGGCGGAGCGGCGTTGTGACGGCGATGAGCTGACGCCGTCTCCGCCGCTGGCCGTGTGATGTCACTGACAGCTCATCGGGAATTGGACGAACGAAGGAAGGGAAACGACGGCAGACGATGGAGGAGCGCCGGGCTGCGGACGCAGAACCGACGCCTCGCGGCCGAGTTTAAACAACAATCTGGAGCTGCGAGCGGTTTGCCGCCTGCAGCCGGGCTCCTCCTCCGGACTCTGTTCACGGCTCCACTTCCTGTTTATAGGAGCGAACTTCCTGCTCTAACAAAACAAACGGATCAGTGCTGCAGTAGGCTAGTGTCTGTCCACGCTGCCATCACCAGGAAAACCGGGTTCCGGGCAGAACGACGAGCGGGACGCTGGTGCTCAGGTTTAAGGTCCGATTCTGATGTTTTTAGCTTAGTTTGACCCGGTCCAGCTCAGACCGCGGTTCTGCTCATGCAGTGTTGGAGAGGAGCGGTGGGAAAGTGTTAGTGTTGTTAAAGGAGACGGTAGTGAAGCGACTGGAGAAGCGTGGGGGGCGTGGCCTGTGTGCTCTACAGCCTGATGTTTCCTTAATGGGGACAGACAGGAAGTCGATGGAGCTCTGAACAGAGACGGTTTTCCAAACAGCTGAACTCACAGGTCATCATGCGACTCAACGACATTTAATCGAAACATGCATCGTTTACTGGATAAACTGGAACAGAGGGAAGTAGAGCGGGCCTGCTCTGGATGCTGCCGTGTAGCGGCGTGTTGGGAACCCAAACAAACTGCCTTCCCACAATGCACCACAGCATGCAGAGGTGAAGAGGGAGGAAGATTCCTACGAGCGAGTTTTAAGGTTAAACAGGTGATCCTGGTGAGGAGACTCCACCCTTAGCTGATGGGATGGAGGTGATGGAGGAGCAAAACTGAACAACATCACAGTCAGGATGGAAAACAGCGCAGGGCGTGGATGTGCGGGATGAGAGGATGAGCCGAGGGGTGACTCCCCTCCTCGGAGTGACAATCCAGCTGCTGGGTGACTGAAGGTGATGAAGAGGAGGGAAAGGAGGAGGAGCTCAGATGGTGAACTTGCTGCCGGGGGCTTCTCCTTCGCCTGCAGCTGAGGATCAGGGAAGGGGCTGGATCTCCTCGATCTCCTCTCCTGACTCCTCGATCAAGCTGATCCGAGCCTCCTCCGCCGACTGCGGCACAAACTCAGGATGGGCCATGAAACTATGGATGGAGCTACGGGAATGTGGACTCTCCATCTCAAAGAGGGAGCTACGGAATGCGTTCACCACCTTAATCTGAAACAAATAGAGAGGAGAAACGTCAGGAGGACAGGAAAAACAATCTGCATTAACAACACCGACTTTAACAGGCAATGGGGGGGAGGGGGGTCTGGATCCGGACAGCCAGATGCAGAAACCACAGAACACAACAATGAAAACAAAGGAACCATCACTGGGAACATGAAAAGGTTCTCAAACACAAAATATCCAAAAATGCTCGTCATGATGCTGGAGGCAGCCCACTGAGGGCGGGGGGCGAGGGGGTGGTAGAATGTAAACACACACACCATCCATTAACTGTCAGGTTAGTCACAATACTGCAGATCTACAAGGTGTAGAAAGACATGCCTTGGATCATCGTGCACCACGATGCAGAATCAACCTGAGCTACTGCTCATGATGCGCTAAGCTAACCATCAGTCTGCACCTCTGTAGGGTGGATAATGAAACTAAAGCTCTGACTACTGGATAGTCCTAAGAGAACACGGACACTTCACAGAATAACAGTTGAACCTCAATCATGGAAGCTAATAAAAAACAAAAACAACAAAACACCAAACCTGTTCCTGATGTAACTAAATGATGTGAATTAAACGCGCTAACAGGAAG